AGACCTAGAAAAAAGCCCTAGAGCTGTCTCTGGGCACACTGCGGTGGCAGGACAGAAAGAAGAAAGGTTCTGTACAAGCTGGCGTGGCATTAAAAAAGAAGAAAAGAATTAACCCTAAACCCCCTTGTAATTATCAGTAATTGGCACTCGGGCTGGTTGTCTCAGCAGAGAGCGCAATAATTTAGTGTGAGCTGTAAAACTGACTTGTTTTCACTCCTAAGGCAAAAGTTTTTAGGCCGTGTTGCCACAGCAGAAAATCACTGATTTATAAACGTGAGGTCCACCACGTATGCGGCTGGGAGCTTTGGTGGAGCCATCTGCAGCCAAATCTGCTGATCCTTCCTCTCCCCAGTCCCTGTTCTCTGCTGTTTAAAACGGCTGGTTTGTGTGGCAAAACCTCAGGCTCACCAGGTATTCTTCTCCTCTGGGGGAAGAGCTTGGAGAAGTCTCCTGAAAGGCAGCTCCTAAAACAACAAAAAATTTAAAGACAAGATAAAGTGAAAACCCATTAAGTTCTTATGACTGGTCACTAAGAATTTATAATTCCTCTCTGCTCTGGCACCTTAAAGTTTGGTGATAGAGTTGTCTTGATGTGATAAAGTGCCTTTTATCAGCCCTGCAGCCCGGTTACAAGTCTCTGGGAAATTTCCTGCTCCGTTTGCTTGGAGATCTGTTAGGGGCTGGGGAGATGCTTTTCAAAGAAAGGTGCAAAATGAACATTTTGGTCTCTTCTGGCAGCACCCACCATGAGTAACCAGGCTCCTCCTGGCCTTTGCTCCTCCAGGCTGCTGGGATGAAGGGAGGGAGATGGTGTCAGGCAGCCCTGGGGCTGTCAGAGTGTCTGGAGGTGAGACCAGAGATGCTTGAGAGGAGGCAACATAAGGATCCTCCACCCCAGGTGGAGAAAGGATCACGTCCAGGACACCAAAGACTGTGGTGGAAGTTGGCTGCTCCCAAGCTTTTCTCCTTGGCTCCAGGGCTCCTGTTGGAGAACTGTCATTAAAACACCTTTTTTTTAAAAGTAATATATTTCACACTTGTAGTGTGAATTGCTCCAGCACGTGGCAGCATCGCTTACCCCAGCACCGAGGAGAACTGGGGAAGGCTGGGGTGCTGCTGGTGGGTGGGAGCAGGGGAGGTGGTTAAAAAATCCCAAATGACAGCCCCGTAATTTCCAGAATTTTTGTTTAAATGGAGGAAATGGCATCTCCAAAAGGGCCGGAGTAATGAGATTGGCAAGTATGACATTCAGAAACGAGGAAATACCAGACTTCAGCTGCCTGGGCCACCTCGAGCTGCTCCCCTGCCGTTTCCCGTTTGCTGCATTTTTTAATGGCACGAGCACATCCTCCTTTTTCCTGGGGCTTAATCCATTTACACATATTTACTCGAGCTTCCTATTTCTTGTAGTGAGAGGTATCCAGCCCCTTGCTTTCATTTGGATCAATGCTTGGTCACCATCGTTAGGGAGTCAACCAGCAGCCGCTGTGATGCTGTATTAATAATGAAGAGGCCAAAAATTGCCCTGTTCATATTTTCACTCTCCAAGAAAGACAGGAAATATGCGACTTTTTCGTCCGGCTGTTGCTATTGTTTGTGTTGAAGCCAGGGGGATGCGGTTTTCCTTGTGAGGATTTATTGGGGAGCTAAAATGCAGCCTCTGCCATCGCATCTGCACCACGGGAGGTGTGACCGGGTCTGAGCCGTGATAAACCTGGGGATCTAAAGCAATAAGGTGCTGTTGGGACAAAAAAAAAAAACAAACCAAAAACCTCACCTGGACTCCAAACCCTCCTCTGCTGTTTTATTGACTGGGGAAGAGGATTTGGATCCAGCCCAGCAGAAGGGCTGGCTGCCGTGGTGGGATTGCTGCTCCTTGGACCGTGGTGGGCTGCGTGAGGAGCAGGTGTGGATGGGTCTCAGTTACGGTGCTACGAGGGGCTGCGCTGCCCCCGGGGGAGCTGGAGCCATCCCAGGTGAGGAGTGGGGTTGTTGTGCTCATGCCCTGGATAAAGCGTGGTGTGGGTCCATCCTCTTTGTGAGCCGGGTACCGCAGGGGGGTGGTGGTTGTCGCGGCAGGAACTCACCTGATATTTCAGCTGGGAGCTACCTGGGGGTTGGGGTGACACCCTCGCTGGTGCCAATGGGGAATTTGGAGGAGAAACCCCCAGGTGAGGGGGTGAAGCTGAGCAGCCAACGCTGCCCATTGTCCACAGTGCCCTCTGTGTGCCCCCCACGTGGTGGGACACCTTCCCACCAACCCCCATATAGTGGGACACCTTCCCACCACCCTCCTCACCATGGGACACCTTCCAACCAACCCCCATATGGTGGGACACCTTCCCACCACCCTCCTCACGGTGGGACACCTTCCCACCAACCCCCATATAGTGGGATACCTTCTCACCACCTTCCTCACGGTGGGACACCTTCCTACCAACCCCCATATAATGGGGCACCTTCCCACCACCCTCCTCACGGTGGGACACCTTCTCACCACCCGCTCAGCCCTTTCCCTGTGGGATGGTTCCTGTCGGAGGGAGGGTCCGGGGCGGCTGTGGGGCTGTTCCTGCCCGTCCAGGTGTGCGAGGGAGGAATGCCAACCCCTGAGTCACGGGCACCCCCCGCCTCCCTCCCCGCCTGGGATAAAGCTCGTCCTCACCTGGGATCCCATCTCATTTATCGGTGGCTCCCACCTTTCCTCGCTGTCAGCCACCCCCCCCCACCTCCACCCCCCCGGGAGGGAGAGGCAGCAGCTCCGGGACGGCGAGAGGAGCGAGAACAAAGTTGATATTTGACTGGAGGGTACAGGAATCAGCGGGGAGGTATGTGGGAGCGCGGGCTGCCTGCCCTCCCCGCCGGACTGGAAGTTGACGTTTAACCGGAAAGAGAAAAGGGACAGAAAATAGAGAGGAGGGAGAGGAAAAAGAAAAAAAAAAAAAAAAAGAAAAGAAAGAAAGAAAAGGCCAAGTCTGGAAATCAAGTGGCAGCAGCGAAGCAGCGCGTTCCCCCTCTGCCTTGGGAAGAATTTCTTGGCTGGGTGTGTGGGTGCCTGTTATTCGGGCTGTGGCAGAGGATTTGGACACCGAGTCAGACCCGGCACTAATGAGGTTTGTGGAATTAATTCATCTGTGCTCTTTAGCGTCCAGCTTGCTTTAATTTCGCTGCGTTGATTAACTGGTGGTGGTGGGGGGGGGGAAGGGTGAAACAAGGTGCAGGGCTCCTTGCGCCAGCAGGTAGGCAGGGCACGGGGCGAGGGAGCTCAGCTCCTTGGCTGCTTCTTTCCCCTTTTTTCCTTTGGTTTTGGGTGTTGGACGCTGTCTCGTGCCTCTTGGCTGCCTGGGAAGGGCAGTGCTGG